CCACACACACACACACACAATCTGGCCAATCAGAGCTCTTCCATATATATATATATATATAATTTTTTTTTAATTCAAGATTTGAGGTGCCTCCATTTCGCCTCCGGGTGAAGGTGCTAGAAGGATTGGGTCTGAGTCTGTCAATGAATGACCATTTCCACATCACGTGCAGCTGAAGGGATTGAATCTGAGCGGAGACAAAAGAAAGGAGAGATGGGTAGGGAGTGAGTTTTGGCTGGTTTTAGTCAGGGGTCCAGCTCTTGAGGCCCTGGTTCCTGTAGCTTCAGCCTGAATTCTATTTCCTTCCCAAACAGAGCCAACAGATGCCTCCTTTTCCTGTCTAATAAGAGTTTCTCTTATTTGTCTTCAGAAGGCCTCAATAAACTTCCCAGACCCTCCAGGCTGGATCAGAGAGCATCTCTGGGCTCCCACAGTTGCCTGCACCAGCCCCTACCTTCTGCCTGTGCTGTCCCCTCCCGGCCCAATAGCCCAGAACCATCTGCCTGTCCTGAACTCCAGAAAGACAGGGACTGGGCTGTCTTGGTCACTGCTGTTTCCGATGCCCAGCACAAGACCAGGCGGTGATAAGCAGACGCTCAAACATTCTTCTCAGGTGCTACTAAGCCCTCTGGCGCCCAGTGGACCCTGGGATCTGAAGCTCTTGATTTTGAGAAACAAGCAACTCATTGTCCTTGATAAGTGCTCTTCCTCTGGATGAAGGGCCTGCGTTACCAGGGAAGGAAGTGAATGGGTGTCTTCCAAAGGGCTGGGCTAGGAGCCTTGAAGGTCCTGAATATGTAAATGGGCATGTGCCAAGATCTCAAGGGGCAGTTGCTGCTTCTGAAGAACCATCAATCCCAAAGCTGGGTTCTCCACAGAAATCAGATCACCTCTCTCCCCTTGCTGCAAACCTTCCCTTTAGCTTCCCACAGCTCTGCGAATCAAGCCTCTCTGCCCACATGGCTGTGCAGAACACACTTACCTCGCCCATCTCCTCCCTGGCCCCACACCCGACCACCTCTCCAGTCCAGCCACACGGCAAGCCTCTGCCCCAGGGCTTTTGCACACTCTGTGCGTTTGGCTTGGGATGCTTTTCCTTGGCACTTCCCACAGTGGATGGACGGACGTCTTCAAATTCTCTGACCTCAAACGAGTCCAGGCCTCCCAGCCACTCCCTGCCCATCGTCCTATTTTTATGTTTAGCTGGGCGCTTACTCTGCCCTCACTTTTCGGTTGTTTGCTCTCAGCTCTCTGGGCAGGATTGTCCTTATTTTGTCTATTTTGCTTCCTGCAGTGTGCCTGCGGAGGATTACCTGCCTGGTGGGCAGGAGTTGAGGAAGGCGACTTCCTACTCATGGCTCTGTGGGTTCCTGGCTGTCAGCTCGTAGGCAAACTCCTGGAACTCTGGGATTCGATGTCTCGTCCGGAAGCTGGGTCTACACACCGGATGCCTGCTGCAGGGCCCAACAGCACCCATGCTTCTCCAGTTACTTCCTATCAAGAGTGTCGGGTTGCCTGTGCCGGATCTGGGGGTCAGCGATGGTGTGTGAGCACCGGGCCTCGCAGGTGCGGAAAGCCTCCATCATCCCCAGAGTGGTAGAGTCGTGATGACGGAAAGAGGCGTGTGGAGACCACCGGGTGGGGGAGCCTCCTGGCCTGCCGATTCTCCTGCCTCTGTCCTTGCTGCCTCCCACCCTGTCTGCCCAGATCCAGCCTCCTCCCGCTTGCTCTCCATTTCTATTTCTGTCTTTCTCTGCTCTTCCCTGGGCCTCAGGGGGCCCTGGGCTGGCAAGGAAGCCTTCGTCCTTCCTCCTCAGAATCAGGAAGGAGCTTCCAGTGCGGAGTCCCACAAGGGCTGGGGTGCCCCCACCCCAACCAGCCATCTGGAGACACTCCCATGACCGCACCACCCTCTGTGCCCCAAGAAGACCCCTTCTCCAGCTAGGATCCCCGAGTCTGGAGCCTGCGATGAGCCCTCCCTCTCCCCTTCCCCCACCAAGCTGGCTCTGAATACCCTAATATTCAGCTCCGGTCACAGAGGTCATCCCCAGTGCAGACCCAAAAGTGATGGTGAGGAATAGGAGCAGAGGGCAAACTACCGGCTCAGCTGTCTTCACTGGGCAACACACTCATGGGCTCAGAAGTACCTGTCTGGAAAATGGGCCCATGGACCTCGTAGTTGGCAGGTCTCAACAGCATAGCCAGTGCTTAGGACAACCCTCGCTGCACCCGAAGCAGACAGTCCATGCCTGGTTAACAGCAGCGGATGAGCGTCAACTCGGAAGGCTCGCTCACACCAACCCCCTGCTGCCCAGCGGGTGCCGAGGAGAAAAGCCCCACGGGGCTTCCCAGGCTGTCCATCTTTGCAGGCCTCTTTCTGCTTTGGAGCCCTGGTGGGCTCCAACAGTCAATCTCTATGTGAGCGGGTGAGCTACAGCACCAAGGATCCTTAAAGCCAAGTTCACTCCCTGCCCTGCATTCGATGCTGACTCATCGTGACCCTGCAGAGCACGGCAGAACTGCTCCTAGGTGGGTTTCCGAGATTGCAACGTCTTACGGGAGTCGAAAGCCTCGTCTTTCTCCATCAGAGTGGCTGGTGGTTTCAAACTGCTGAGCTTGGCGCTAGCAGGCCAATGTGCAATCCAGGACTCCACCAGAACTCCTTAAAAGCCGTGGTAAACCGAACTCAATGCCACTAAGTCGATGCTGCCTCATAGCGACCCTGGTGGGTTTCCGAGACTGTAACTTTTCCAGGGGGGTGGAAAACCCAGTCTTTCTCCCCGAACGGCTGTTGGTGGCTTCCAACGCTGACCATTCAGATCACAGCCCAACGTGTACACCATCAGCGCTGCAAGTAAACTGCCTTTAAATCCGTTTGGCCACCTTCCAGCTGTGTAACCTCAGGCAAGTTACTTAGCTTTCCTGGACCCCAGAGTCACAGTACTGGCTTCTAGGCTTGCTGTGGGGACTAAACAATTTTCTCAGACACAAGGGTTGGGCATGTGCTTGGTACAGAGTAAGCAACTGGTCCGTGTTCGCTATGGTCATTTTATTTTGTTCTTTTTCCCATCTCTCTCTGAGATGGATGCCTGTGTGAGAGTCTCCCTGGCCCCTGGCTTCCCTCTGTCTCACATTCATTCTGTTGCAATCCAGGTCACCCTTCCCCAACCCCCAAGACACACACAGAGGTCACGCAGAGCGGCCTGGGACACAGAAAAAAGTTTAATTCTGCGGCGGCGGAGGGTCCCGGCTCCGGTGGGGAGAGGGATTTGGTTTGGGAATTTGTTCGCGTGGGGATTTAGTATGTGAACGAGGAGGGAAGGAGGGAGAAAGAGTCTGGTCCTTCCAGTGGGCCCTGCCCGGGAGACTGTGTAGTGAGGAGCGGAGATCCCAAGACTGGGACAGAAGGGCAGGCGGGCGGAGGGAGGAAGAGAAGACAGACA